TATTTCAACCATTTATCTAAATGTTTTTTTTCTGAATTTATGTGTTTCCACAGATCGGCCGGCTCCAGCTCACATGCCGATGTTTCCTCCCGCCGCCTGTGACATGGCGGCAAAAGCCCTGCCCCAAAGGATGCTGCCCCCTCCCCCGAATGACCCTACCACCAAAACCCCAAAAGATCAGGTGAAAATGGAGCTGGAGAACGCCTCTCTATGGAAACAGTTCACCACAGTTGGCACAGAGATGATCATCACCAAGAAGGGCAGGTGAGAGAACATCAATCTTTGTCTTTACTTTGACTCTTTTAAATTCTCCAATCTGACTGTTTCTTAAATCTTAAATCCTTGTCCCCCCTTCTCTTAGACGGATGTTCCCCGGGCTGAGGTTAAAGCTCTCTGGCCTGAACCCATCTCTCCGCTACCTCGTCCTCCTGGACATCGTCCCGTTGGACAACTCCCGCTATCGCTTCCAGGGTGGAGCCTGGCAGGCTGTTGGCGGGGCCGAGGCCAGGCTGCCGGACCGGGTCTCCATCCACCCGGACTCACCTGCCACAGGCGCTCACTGGCAGAGCCGCACCATCTCCTTTCACCACGCCAAGCTCACCAACAACACACTGGACTCCCAGGGACACGTAAGTACCAAAGACTGCACACACACAAACACACCGCCCAATCTTTAAGGGTCGGTTTGTCTTTATGGTGCATTTTGAGTCAATTTCCTTTCTTCTATTTCCAGATTATCCTGCACTCGCTGCATCGCTACCAGCCCAGGATTCATGTGATTGAAGCCAGAGACGTGCTGAGGTGGGGCGGGGGGCAGCACTCCTTTGTTTTCCCTGAGACCCAGTTTCTCACAGTCACCGCCTACCAGAACAACAAGGTACCATTATAATACATTTATATAAAAGGAAAGGGGAGAATATGAGTTGCAAAGAGTGCAGTCCAAGATTAAGAATGATGATTCTATGCACAAATATCTTAAGCAACAATATTCATCAGCGCAAAATAAGAGATTAAACGCAAAAGAAACAAAGAACCAAAAACAGAAGTCCAGGGAAGGTAAACCAACTGTTTTCTTTTTTGTTGTTTTCAGATCACAGAGCTGAAGATCAACTCCAACCCCTTCGCTAAAGGCTTCCGAGAGGATGGCATGAACAGCAAAAAGTAATTCACAGCAAATAGAAACCTTGATCACACCTTTGCATACATGATGTTGAGGATCTAAACCCATTTTCCCCTCCCTGCAGACAAAGAGACGCAAGACAGAAGCGCAAAATATGTGACGGGACAGAAACCTTGGATATTGGTAAGAAACCTTAATGATTCATTTGCTTATTATTCTAATATAACTCCTACTTACAATGCCATGGATTGCTTTACACTAATACACTACTTTATTTTGCCTCCCTTAGTGAACTGTGATCCATGCGACTCTACTGACCTTCAGCCACAGCAAATGACCTCGGCCACAGACCTGCAGGCCCTCGCTCTGGCCTCTCTGCCCCCCATGCCCAACCCCTCCTGTGGGTTCAGACCAGAGGAAGCCCACTATCAAGCCTCACTGATCCAGGAGCAGCCGCTAGATCTCGGCCAGGCATTTATTGCCTCGCACATGTCCGATATCGGCATCTCCATGGCCAACGGGATGCAGGACATGCCGGGGAGTGAGGTGGCGAATTTGATTGAAGGGTAGGTGTACAGAGAGACAGAGGAATGTATTCTTGTGTAGCGTTGCATTTTACAAATATTTCCATCATCGGTTCATATGCAGATCCATCTCTCAAAGTCCAGGGTCTTAAATTGTCTTGTTTTTCAATTATATTGAGATAAATATGATTTTCAATGCAGTCAAATCTCCATGTTTGAGATGCTTGAAACATTAACTACAAGTGGACCTATCATGCTATATTTGAATAATATAGTGTAGGACCATACCTATATAAGGCATATTTATACTTTTTTTTTTTCAAAATACCAAACAGATCATGCATTTTAGCCATGCCTCATTTCGCTCAATTTGCACTGTTTTAGCTCTGTTTTTGCAAGGGCTGATTCTGTGAGAACAGCACCATCTACAGGCCTGGCATATGTACTACAGCGTCTCCAGGGCTTTCGAACGGCAGTGGCCGTGGCTGTCTCCTCCTGATAGGTGGAGAGTTGGCCCAATAGCCGTAGCGCCACCGTCCTGACGTCAGGACAGTGTTCAAATCTGGATCAGTTTTTATCAGATCCGTTGCAGCCCCTTTTTTAGAGATGTGGGTATGGAGGAAAATAGAGAGGGTTGTGTTTTCTGACACTTGGTGAGTTCCCTGGAACACCGGGGACACATATTCATGTATAAAAGACGTACAAAAGTGCATTTTGCATGATAGGTCCCCTTTAAGTTCTATTTGGTTCTTACTTTCTCTGTTGATTATTTGATTAAATGTTACTAATATTGCAACAAATCTTGTTATTTCTAATATATGTTTTTATTCTCCTCTACAGATCAGACACACAGGCTTACACCTCCAACTTCCCTTTAGCTCCTCTTCCTCAGTCCTCCTTCCTCCCTGTTCCTGACTCATCAGATACATCCAATCCTCAGACTATCGACTACACCCCCATCCTCTCCTCATCCCCTACACTCTCCTCCTCCTCCAACACTCCCTTGCTGCAGCAGACCACCTTCACCTTCCCCACGCCGCCTCCTTCTAATTCTTCCTCACCGCAGCCACTCCTTTCCTCGTCTCCTTCCTATCACACCATGCCTGAGACAATCAGCCCACACACACCTGCAGACGCCTCCTTTCCTGCGCCACCTTGTCAATCAGGTCTGCAGGATCAGATATCAGCTCATTCTCTGCTCAATGACCAGCCTCTGCAGGGAGACTCAATCTCCAGTGCAAGTCATTCTCCCATTGATCAAACTTCAGCGGTGTTTATCCATCCAAATAACCTTCCTGTAAATCCTGCTCCAGTTACCGCTCTCTCCAACTACAACCTCCCATTAGCTCCCAGTCTCCCCAGCTCCCTTCCCACTCATGGTACATCTTTCCCCTTCCCCTCTGTCTCACCACACATGCAATCATTTTCAAACATGTCTTCCAACTCTTCCCATCATGCCTTTAACTTCCAAAATCTTAGCCACCAAACCCAAGCCTTCCCTCCTTCATCCTTCACTCATCCGTCATCCCTCCCACACCCCCACCCTTCCTTCCAGCCTTCCTCATGCTTGGCTGTGCCCTCTTCTTTCCAGCAGTCTGTCTCTTCAGCTCCTTCAATGCCACCAACAGCCTATCCTCAAAACCTGGCCAATCCCTCCAACTCCTCGTACCCTCAAGTTGATATTAGTGGTATCCCACAATTCAATCCTGCTGCCCACTATCGCCCGGAGATGGTACGGCACCACCCGTCTCTCCTGCCTCAGCTAGATCCATCCCTTCCCTCCAATCTCCCCTCCTCCAATCCTCCCCAGTCGCTCTATTCTGCCTTCCCGTCATACCCTCTTCGGCTCTGTCAGGACCCCCACCCATCCCTTTCACTCCCGTTCAGGCATCTGTACAGGCAACACCAGCATGGACACGCCCACCCCCAGGGGTCCTACCTGGATATGAGCACGAGAGCTGTGTATTAGTATATAGTAGAAGATTAACGGCTTGATAATGGCGCTTTTAGGGGGTTTAGCAATGTGTAGCATTAGTTTAAGTAGTCTAATGTACTGTGTGTGTGTGTGTGTTCACAATAATTCAGCAGAGGAATGACATTTAAGTTTGTATATATAGCTGTTTAACATTTTTTTATGAAATATCCATTCCAGTGTGAATAATAAAAAAAATGCCATGTCCACAGCTTTTGTGATTCTATTTTTTCCACTGAAACACTAGACATGCTAAAAGTGAGCTAGCTAGCCAGGTTAGCTGTTTCTGATCTTTTTGCTAACCTACCTAACACAATGCTATTCTTTTTTGGTGTAAAAACTTTTACAAAATCTTTAGTCGTTGCCAATCTCAAGCCCTTCCTTTGACGTGTCTCTTTTTTACTTGGTGAAATAAAATACTTGAATAGCCAGTTACCTCTTTTACCTGCTAGACTAGAGGACTGTGTTTCTTTAGCAAAGTTGCTATCTGCTAAAATTGCTGCTCCATTTGAGCGGTCATCTTTGATAGCTATGATTACTTGGCACCTCTTTACATTTCTGCATAATATCCCATGAATGTCCATACTTTTATTCATAATAATTATGATATTAACATTGTTTTTGGACAACTAGAAGTATTTTCATGCCAGGTTGGTTAGCAATGTCAGCATAACACAGATCTGAGTGACATGTGTGTGAAGTTAGAGGACTTTCTGTCAGGACAGAGAAACTGTACGTGACAGCAGGCAGCAGTTAATCATTTCCTCTCCTGGCTGCTTTTTTGTGTCTTTTTGGAAATATGTAATTCTCAAACCCCTCAGAATATAATTGACCTCTCTGGGTGTTAGTTTCACTTTCCCCCTGGGTTTATTAAAGAGTCCTTGATTTAATGTAGGCATGTGCATTCACACAAGCTTGAACAAAAATGTAGCATTCCTTATTGTAAAATCCCTAACGGATCAAAGCCTTAACTATTTTTCAATGTTAGAAATTTAATAATTTTAAATAAAAATGTATAATCATTAATGCTAAGAGTTGAATTCTTTAACTTGACCCACTTTAATTGCCATACCATCTGACTGCCTAATCAAAGCCTAGATTTGCCTTTTAAAGCCACATTTGTTCCAAAACTGGCAAAAATAAATCCAGATCCTAGTAAAAAATAATTTCATACATGACCAAGTTAGCTTTTAATGTGATTTTGGCTGTTTTCAAACCTTTACATATATAGTGTATCTGTCAAACTTAGGGAGCACTTGTGTGTTGATGCTAAGGGTCAACTTGATGTTTACCTAAATGTAGTCACTTATTAACCCAGTAGGCCTAGTAAGCCAAAAATGAGGAATATTTCCGTGGCACCTGCTTCGCTTTCCATCATTTACTGAGGGACTTTCGAAAAGCTACTCAAAGGCGGGTAAGGTATTTATATTGACCTTTTCATTTTACAAATTATTGTCAATTTCAGATAGAGGGCTCTTTTGATGTTCCTTTGTTTTAAAAATACATTCTCAGTAAATGTAACTATCATTAACTGTTAATTCACTGAATGATCTGAACACACAGGCTCTGATAATGTCTCTCTGACACTAGTGTTCTTCTATTTAACACACACAAAAACGCAAACACTTCATATACAGCTTACTCAGGGAGCAGATATCACACAACAACATAGACACACAGCACTTAATCATTAAAACATCACCTAAACGGCTGATACAATAACATTACAAAACCTACTCACTTTTCCAGGGATGATGATGTACTCTCGCTTGCGTTCCTCACTCCCTCACCTCTTGTCGCTGAGGCTTCTGGGTACTACGGCCTCCAGGATGACGGTGGCGGTCAAGAAGCCCGACCGCCTCTCGGCGACTCTGGCCTTTGAGGATCCGAGTGCCTTCAGGGTGAAGAGTTTGGGAGAGCTGCTCCGAGCTCTGGGAATCTTCCATCTCTGCTCCTTCTCTGTGCTGGTCAACAACAGTGGGAAGGTAAGACGTGAGTTGCCATTGATCATTATTTGGAGTCAAATTAAGTGAATAAGACTGACACATTTAATGGATAACAGGGATCCTAGTCTTTGACATTCACTTAACACGAATATTGTCAAGGTACTGTCTGTGTTGTCTTGTTATGATTCCTTACTGTGGTGTTATATTGCACACTGTAAATTGTTGTCTTAACACAAGAGAAATATACTGAATAAGGGCTTCTCTGCAGTGGTGGAAGAAGTATTTAGATCCTTAACTTCAGTACAAATTAATACCCTGCAAAGTCCCTAGAAATGCTTTTGAAGTATGTAAGTACATTCAGTAAAATGTAACTTTTTTGTTAGGGTGCAGGTAATCATTATTTAGTATTATAGAAGTATAATTGGTTTGTAAAGAATCTGCAAAAAGTGAGAAATGCCACAAGTGACAAGTTTTGTCCAACCAATATCACAGAATTCAATACATTTAATGAAATAAAAATGCAGCAAATCCTCTGATTTGTAAAGCTAGACATTCAAAATGGACTTACTTACATTCCATCACTGTTTCTGTGTCACTACATTATTTCTCATCTTCTTCTCCATCACCCTCCCTCTCCTCCTCTCCTCTTCCAGCTGATGTCGGTGGCGCGCAGGCTGCTGGGGAGGAGGGCGTTTTCCTCCCTGCTGCGTCCCACCGTGTATGCCCAGTTTGTGGCCGGGGAGAATGAGAGTGAGATCTCTCAGTCCATGGAGAAGATGAGCCTGCTGGGACTCAGGCCCATGCTGGCCGTACCCATCGAGGAGGATCTGGGAGAGAGCACAGGGTACGTCTAACTGTTAATAACTCAGTGAGCTCAGGCTCGACCAAACAGAAAATGACATTGCATCCAAAGCATGGAAAAAAGGTATATTCATTATTCACCCTGTTACCTTGAATTTGTAAAGAAAATGTGAATACAAGTACTAAGACAATTCAAGTCAAATGCGTTTAACAGCAAAACGATATCAAAGCATCCTTTTACAAACTCTCACACTTACAGCATAATGCAAATCTCATTTATCAAGTTCTTTGCTTACGACAAAATGCTGCTGTCTACACGTGATGACGAGGCTGGGCATGGCATGGTGATATTAAAGGGTATTCAAAGTGATTATTATAATGGCAGATTAGATGCTGATTTAGGAAGTATCTCTTGCAGATGATTGCCCCTCAGCTCAACTTAAAACACACGTATTCTACTCTGCTGTTTTACAAGTAAGCTGTTATTGCATGTTGGAAATTGAAGTACATTACAGACTTATGTTGTTATTTGTCACCACCAGAGAGAAGAGATATGATGATAACATGGAGGCCATGCTGGAATGTGTACAAATATCCCACAGTAACACCTGGAGCAGAGACCCCATGATGCAGCTGAAGGTCACAGCGCTGCTCAGCCCGGAGCTGTGTGTAAGACAATGGACTCCATCATCATCAAAATGTTACCAGGACATATTTAATTACACTATTACTAACATATTATCTTTACATTTAACGTTATTATGCAAAACATACCTTTTTAATGAACTTTAAAATGCTAAATCTGTCCAGAAATCAATAAAGGGGACATTTAAAATTCTTAAACCAATGACTTTGTTATACGTTTTGGTTACAAGCAGACCCATATGGGATATTCCCAGGTTTTTTGCCGCCAAGCGATAGCTGTATGTAGTTCAAATACGTGGGAAAAAAAGATAAGAGTACACATTTCAGTGTTTGATGTTTCCACAGCTTTTCCAGTTAAACTTTAGGCATTTTGTCTTTCTCTGTACTGCTATGGTAAAGGTGAAACTCACAACCCTCATCGCACAACAACCATACGACCTGAATCTACTTGTACGAGCTATGGATGGAGAGGTATGTCCACAGTTAATCTAAATAATCCACTTTGTTACAGTTCAAATACTGTACATATACAATGCTTCTGTGAAATGACATGACCTCTGACCTTTCTGCCGCTCTCAGCAAATCAACTTCCCTGGTTTAGATGAAAGTGACGTTGCTCATTTCCTCTGTAGCCTGCGGAGACTCAACCAAATAGCAGAGGTACAGAAGTCAAGGAAACCTTTATTACATGGGAAGAAATATCAAACTGATTGTGTTTTGTAATTCTGAGTCACTACTTTGCATCTAAATCAAATCTGTTTTTACCTTTTTTTAGGCAAGTGTGAACAAAGTCAGAGTTCTGGTGGATGCAGAATACACCTACATGAACCCTGCCCTCTCTCTTGTCACCATGGCGATGATGAAGAAGTTTAACAAAGATGGCGCCTGGATCTGGAACACGTATCAATGTTACCTGAAGGCAAATATCTTGAATGTCACAAAATAGATCATTTTAGCTTGTCTGTATTTTCTAACATTATCAAAGATCTGTATAGATATGTCTATATGTCTCCAGGAGTCCAGGTCTCTCCTGTTAGAAGCGCTGCGTCTGTCAAAGACTGAGGGTTTCTGTCTGGGGGTCAAGCTGGTGCGAGGAGCCTACATGGACAAAGAGAGGAAGCTGGCAGAGAAGCAGGGTCGCCCGGACCCCGTCCACAGGTGCTGGGAGGACACCAATGACAGGTGGGTCAGAGGTAGCAGTCATTATTCGTTACAAGGCAAATGCATCCCATATTAAGCTTAAACTAGATAACAGAGCCTATTACTTAGGTCGTTTTTACCAATGCACCTGGATAAATCCTAAAAGCATGGATTAAAATGAATTGAACTGCTATCCATTGAGTACATTTGGCCTTATAGAAAACAGACAGATTTTGTCCCCCACAGTAACATGTATTGAACAGTTTGCTTGTGTTTGTGCAGTTATAACGGCTCGCTGGATGTGATGCTGGAAGACATTTCCAAGAAGCCGGAGAGCAACAGAATTATTGTCGCCACTCACAACGAGGAGTCAGTGAGACGAGCCGCCAAACGGTACGACCACATGAAGTCAAAATCACACTTTAACATGAGAATCTACACAAAAACAGTGCAATGATAAATAGTTGGAGTATTCCTTTAATCATCTCAAAACCCCTGATTTATATTGGGAACACTAGTCGGGTCTCAATCACCAGGTTGATTCATACTAGTATATTGTATGTGTGTAATCATATATGCCTGTTACTAACTAAAGTATTTTTGGACTTCTTTTAAAACATTTTAATTATCCAGAATTGTTATACTGTTTATATTTGATATAATATTTTTCATTTTATTTTACTTGAACTTAATTCTCTGTTCCACTTTTTGAGTATTTTTTATTTTTTGTCTGAACACACTGACGCTTCTTCTGTAACAAAACAATTTCCCAAATTGGAATCAATAAAGTATTTATCTATCTATCTACGTATCTAACTATTGTGTATTTTATTTTCAGGATGGAAGAGTTGGGGATTGCCAACGATGGAGACTCCGTGTGTTTCGGGCAGCTGCTGGGCATGTGTGACCACGTCTCCCTCACATTGGGTGAGCTCAGTTTTCTGCAAATAATCCAGTGTTTTTTATTCAACTAAAACGTAATGCAAAACATGTATATTTTCTCCTTTTTTTAAATGCTATTTTATTGCTACTGAGATTTATATTTCTGGTCTTTTAATTTGTATTGTAAAATGCCATGTCTTTATGCTGCTGCAACACAAAAATGTCCCAACTTGGGATCAATAAAGTACTTTTTATCTTATGTCTGTTTGAGGGTGTAGGCCTGCAAAACTTCCGTTGTAGGACCAAAGCTCTGACTCCATCCTCTCTTTGTCCTTCTACCGCCAGCTAAGGAGGGTTATGCCGTGTACAAGTCAGTGCCCTACGGCTCGGTGGACTACACGCTGCCCTACCTGGTGCGTCGGGCTCAGGAGAATCAGACCGTGTTGCAGGGAATCCGCAAAGAGAGGGACCTTCTGAGGAAAGAGCTGTTCAGGAGGCTGACTCTCAGGGGGGGCCGCTCATAGGCCCCATGCAAGGATGGAAAACAGAGGAGAGACATTAGTACTGAAACACTGGACACCACCATATTAAGAGCTCCCCATCAGGACATGATGTAGAATAAGGGAGCAACAATATACATTTATATATCTGGAGTTGTTAGAGATGTTATAGAGCTTATATGAAAGTTACAACCTATTGTATGCAAATGAAGCACAACATTTGAAATAGGTAAAATAGTTGATCAAAATGTATGTAGCCTATACTATTAGGAAATATACCTTCATGGCAACTGAGAACAATAGGTGCAACAGTGTTTTAAGTTCCATGGAAAAGATGCTCAAATACATGCTGCTGTAAATGAAAAACTGTTAAGATCTGTTTTATAATAAAGTCCGTAAATGGAAGGAATACTTTTTCTTTATTTTTTTGCGTGCCACTGATACACAACTCAACTTCTGGTAAAAGCACTGAAATAAAGGTACTGTTAATGACATGCATCATAATATTTGAAATGTAATTTTTATGCTGTGAGACTCACATGTTGCCAAACAAACACTGATAGTGGTGGAGCAACACATCATTATTAACAAGATAATATGGAGGTGGAAGTGAGTCTGGTGTCTGCTGGTTAGTCTTTGCCCGAGTCTCACTGATGTTTCGCTGAACACTCTGACCCTGTTGCATTGGAGAAGTCACTCATTCGAGTTCACAACTGTTTGACAGAAGTTAACTAAAGGTTCGAACAAGACGGAAAAAGTACAATACTTCTGAGTATAAGGAAAAACTTATATTATTTATAACTACTGATGTTACATGCCTCACACTACAACATTTTGTTGGAAAGCCTTTAAAGTGGGCATTAGCAGCTTTGAGGCATAAGAGCCATAACATGTGAGTTTAATGTCTGGCGAATGTAGAATTCCCACTGCAAACACCAATAGCTTTTTTTATCGTTTTAAATTAGATACTTTTTCACATTTTGTTTATATAACTCTCACATCAAGGATCTGTATGTAATTCCAGAGGGCAGTTCCTGAGGTTTCTACTGACAGACTCCTTTCATGAGGATACACATGATTTCTTCACACTTGCAAATTCACAAAGGCCTAACACCCCATCTGGCTGTTAGTAAAAGTGAAAGTAATTTATGTATCCTCCCATTCAATGTATATTATGCTTTTTTGTTGTTGAATTGAATTTATAAAAACTGTGAAAAAGAGAATGGAAAACACAACATTTCATTTTGGTAATTGTTTATTTCACAAGTATATGTGAACAATACTTGACACGTCTGTCACCTGACTGCAACGCCTGTATAAAGCAGTTTTCTATTAGCAATAATAACCTTAAAAACTCTTCACCTTTATCCCAAGTACTGAAAATCCACACTATGTAGTAGCAGCGGGAAAGACTTGTACCGTGTTAACTTTCAGCTGTTTCAGGAAAGCATTTATTGTTATGGTTATGGAATGAAGATTAATTCGGGGTCAAGACTGAAATCTAAATGTTTCCAGCTCAGTAGTTTGAGTGGTTTTGATAACTTCCATGGTTCCCATAACTTCCATGGTTCCCATAACTTCCATGGTTCCCATAACTCCCACGGTTCCCATAACCCCCACGGTTCCCATGGTTATCATGGTTATCATGGTTATCATGGTTATCATGGTTTCCATGGCCTCCACGGTTCCCATAGCCCCCACGGTTCCCCTGGTTCTGATAGCTCCCACGGTTGCCCTGGTTCTGATAGCTCCCCTGGTTGCCATGGTTCTGATAGCTCCCCTGGTTGCCATGGTTCTGATAGTTCTGATTTCTGTAACCACCGCGATTGTAGCCTCCCCTATTCTGCTGGTAGCCGCCTCCTCTCCCCTCTGTAAACAAGCAAAGAGGAAAACAAGGTTATACAAATGGATTTAAAATCATACCCATAGAGCATATTTTTCCAACGGAGCTCAGGCTTCTTTTTTCAATTATCATTGAGAAGAGAGGGTATGTGGTGCTCTGGAGGTAAATTGCTGCACCAAGTTTCTTTTTTTTGGAGCTCTAACTTTATGTGCAGCTAACAGAGCACATATCCTATTCTTAAAAAAGAAAAGAAACAGCGAGTGAAATAACTAGGAATGCCTTACAGGACAGACTGTCTGAACATTTTTCAAACACCACATCTCCCCTCACTGTGACAGCCGTCTCTTCACTCCGCCTCCCCCGGCAGCCGCTCAGAGCGACTGTTAGTTACTGATTACATTCAGAGAAACTCAGACAGCAACTTAGTTAAAAGCAGTAAGGAGTTAACACACTCTCAGAGGAAAGTGTGGCTTCACTTACCTCTGTTGTAAGATTTGTTCTGTTGGTAGCCACCTTTCTGATCTGTAATGCAAAGGAAAAAAAAACAGTCATTATTTTTTCCAAGAAAGCACTTAAACGCACACACCTATACAATATGAAATATAACGCATATAATCAAGCGTGTTGTCCGACTCACCTCTGTTGAAGTAGCCTCCATAGACGCCCTGCTTGAGGTCGAAGACGCGCTCGTTGTTCTCCACCAGGCTGCCCAGTTTCTCAGCCAGCTGCAGGGCCATGTTCTGCAGGGAGGTGGGCTCTGTGCGGTGCATCACCACCGTCTGAGTGGGCTGGTCCAGGGACGCCTTTTGAACAAGAGGACACAATAGGTTTAGAGAACAACATTGAGAAAAGAATTGTACATGCAAAGATGAAAAGGAAATGAAGTAGAGAAGTCAGAAACGTACCATCAGCTCCTCGTTGATGATCATCTTGCTGATGATGCTGTGAACTGTCGGGATCTCCAACTCAAACATCTCAGAAAGTGTTCCCATGCTAAAGGACAGATGGACATACAGGAACAATGATCATTAATGAAAGAAAATTGAGCCATTTTAGATGTTTTAAGTTTGCGTGAGTAGGCTGTGCAACATCTGAATAGATATAGAAATACAAACTGACGCCTTATCTCAGAGAACATGGTGGAACACTAACTTAGCTAGTGACTGGTGTTAGCATTTTGTGCTTACCTGATGGAGTCGTACACACTGCTGTACGTGAACAGATAAGTCCTCAGGGACTCTTCTTGGATCTTCCTATAAAAAGAAAGGCAATAAGGAAATTCATAATAAATTCACTTCAACAAGGAAAGCACAATGACTTTATACCTACAAATATAATGCAAGTGCCAGATTAAATCATCATGGGATGATCTGAAATAATAATCTGAATGATCACTGTTGTATGAATGAATATAATGTGCAATATGTGCTATATGCCGTTAATAACTGTGCAATATATACCTGGCTGCTAAATCCTAAGAACTGTTACAGGATGTGTTTTTTTATTTTTATTTATGTAACTTTTAATTTTTTATAATATATTATATCATAACTTAGTACTTTAAAAAAAAAATGCATGTCACATATTTAACATTAAGCCATCAGTGGCTCTTTTTCCTGCTGTAACTACGCACATTTCCCCTCCGTGGGACTAATAAAGATATTCTGATTCTGATAAAAGCAAGATCAGATTTAATTCCCTAAAATCATTAAGCTTGTAACAAACCCTAACTGATGGATGAGAGGTGTATGCTAACCTGACGAGCATCTCGCGCACTCGCTGCGTCTCGGGGAACAGGTCCCACACCTTGCTGTTCATCTTCTCGTTGATGATGAAGGAGTGGCAGGTGCGCCAGTCTCCCATCTTCATGGCCTTACTGGCGGCCACCACATGCTCCCTCATGCTCTCGGGGGGTCCTGCGGGACAAACAGAGCTACAGTTAGACTCGGTTTCACTTTGAGTTAAACCTCATGGTGTAAAGAGATGCTAGAGGACATGTTACACACCCAGAAGAGGCTGTCTCTCTCCCACTCTCAGCTGGTGATGGAACTGCTTGCTGATCATCCTGCGGCGGGCATCGAACTCGTGGGCGGCCATGTAGGGGATCTCCAGCAGCATGGCGGACACCAGGTACACACACTCCAGCAGCTCCAGGTTGATGTGCATGTGGAACGGCACCTGCGAGGGAGATTAAAGCAAATGTTATGATAATGTCAGCATTACTGAATCCATCATCGGTAGGCCATACTTTCTTGGAAGATTCAAGGTTTGTACAGTTTCGAAAAAATTAAAATCGAAGTCTTAACTACTATTTAACTAACAACTACTAAACTTAAATGCCTACACATTTGAAACTTATATAAATCACATCTAAAATTGCTACTATAAATGTATATTTGAGAAAAATAAAGTTTACAGAATTAGTTCATACCCATTGAATTCGATGTATCAGGGTATATGCAGGAACCCTGAAGTCAAATTTAATGCCTTTTAAGACCTTTTTTAAGACCCTTTCCATACATTTTAAGACCTCATCGTCACTTGGAGTTTTAACCGGTTACATTGGCGACACACTTTACCTCACATTTACTATATACAGTATTGATTGTCCTTCATCCTTATCTTCCAACCATTTGGACGCAAACTTGCATTTCCCCATAACGATGTTGTTTAACAACCGGCGTAAACGGACTTTCACACACTATCAAGCAGTGAGCGTGCGATGTCCTGTTCAGATGACGTCAAACCAACGGGATGCCATAAATAAACTACACACCTAGGCCTGTCGCGATAATCGATAAATTGACTTATCGTACGATAAATAAAAATGGACTCGATAACTTTTCTGAGCTCGATAAATTGCCGTTTACATAAGGATGTGACCAGCATTTTAGCTAGGAGCGCTGTGGCTGCCAGGCGCGCTGTGGCTGCCGGCCACGCGCGCTGTGAGGGGCGGGGCTGACACACAGCCAGGTCACGCCGCGTGCACGTGCAGCAGCGTAGCAGCCAAATTAATAATATAGCGACAAGCGGGAGACAACGTGTGACTTACTCGCGGGGAATTTAAAGTGAAATGGAATTGGTTACAAAACCTAACTACACATCTCGATTCTCCGGTGTGGCAGTATTTTGGATTCAAGCCAAATCAACGAGGCGAACCTACGGACTTGAATGAGCCGGGCGGTGTGTCGCATTTGTTTAAAAAAGGTAGCGACAAAAGCAGGCAATAGCACGCATTTTAAACTACACCTAAAACACAACCACCCCATTCCGTTTTCCCAGCTGGTAGCAAACACGGCAGCTGGAGTTTACAATCAAAGATGCATATGTGCCCGACAATGCAAACATGTTGGTGTTCCTTGCTCGAAAACTTTGAAAAACTGATTTGGATATGGCCTGTTGAGGCATCTGGGTCTTTGTATGGACAGTGGACTGTACACTTGACTGTTGTTTTAAGGAGGTTTTTTTTGCTTGTGAGACAATGTGTGCTCATATTTATTTATTTATCATGGTCTCTATCTATCTATATAGATAGATAGATAGATCTTTGTTTT